GTTCTGCGTGGCTCCGTGCTCAGTTCATGGTACCGTCATGTGTGGCCAGATCCAGCGGGGCTGAGATGGCAGCAGCTGCTCAGAAACCTGCACAGTGAGAGAGACAGGAGTGAGCCTCTGTTCCCAAAGCCCTTCCAGGACCCAGCACCCCAGCAGCAATCCCACCCCCGAGGCCAGGGTGGGCTCTGGCTCTTTCTCCCACCCAGCCCTGGGGCCAGGAGAGCTGCAGAGGGGTTTATCCAAACTGGCCTCAAAGCAGCCCAAGGATGGAGGGCAGGGACACCCGTGCCACGGGACACGTGTGGGCCGGGCACTGCCACGCTGGGCGAGGAGGAGGAGATGGCAGCAGTGAGCTCGTGAATCACTATTCCTCTGTGACACTCCAGACTTTTTTTTTTTTTTTCTCTTAATAAAGTCATAAGCAGTCGAGTGGCTGGTGATTAGCTCGGGCAATTTAAATCCGTCTCCAGTTTCTGCACTAATCTCCAGTTTGGAATTTTAAAATGTCTTTATTTGATTACTTGAAAGAAACCTTATAACCAGGCACAGAAACCTAATTCTTATGGGGAAGGAGGACGCTGAAAGCAGCTGAGACAGCCTGGCCTTCCACTGGGCTCAGCCACAGCTGAACACGCATCTAGGGGTTATCTTGTGCCCAAAACTCTCCCCAAAGGGACGAGTGCTGCTCCTTCTTGCAGCCTCCCCACGGGAATCTGCATGCCCCAGCACCAGAAGCTGCACCCAGATGTTCCAGGGCACCTCCTGGCACAGCCCCCAGCCCATCTCAGCCGTTTCCCAGCAGGAGCTGCACTGCAGCGAGGGGACAAACAGGGAACTTCAGCCAGTTCATTTTCCACAGGTATGTCATTCTCCTGCTCTCTCTGTGAGCAGCTGGGTAACAGCAGTGATTACACTGCATTTAAGGCAAGGTGCCCTGTGCCAAGACCCAGGCAAAGGGAAAAGCCAGTCCCTAAATAGCTTCCTATCTGCCTCAACTTGGCAGTCCCCAGCCCTCGCTCTTGTCACGAAAAGCATTAAAAAAACCCAAAAGCTTTTTCTCCCAAATTCAAAGCAGCAGCCACAGCCAACCTAACCAAGCTCCTCCTGCCCCACTCCCACCCCAGAGCACCCCCAGACCCCACTTAAGACCACGGCCCCATCCTTCACCTCCTCATCAGACCATGCTCCAACAAACAAGCCCTAAAGGTCTCACTCCCACACTCATTTTTGGGGTTCACTGAGTCATGTGAGTCACTTAAATCTTTTTCTCTGCTTTTTTCAGGGGTAAAGTTATTCATCGTGCATCATGTTCTGTGGTTTCAGTGCAAGTTGAAGGAGCCCCGAGGAGAATGGGCAATCTTTTCCCCATCATGACATCCACAATTTGCCCTCCAGGGAGGATGAGGTATGGGGAGGACAGGAAGAAGACCAGAGAGACAAAGGGCAGCAAAACCTGGGGTTTTTTACACATAAATAAATACCACCAGTAAGAGTCTTTGCAAGGACAGATCATACAGGGATGGCATTTAATTCTTGAGACATTAGCTACCAAAATAGGTGCATGTTTCCTTCCCAGCAGCAAATAGGAGCAACCATCCAGCTGTGAGGAGCACTGTCATCATGGGGAACACTGAGGCAGTGCCACAGGCATATCCTTTGGCTGCTGCTCCCCATCCCACCGTGGGAAGCCCCAAAAAGAAAGGTCCCAGAGCATCACCAGTTTCAGAGCATCAGTGCTCCAGCCTGCACTGTGTGAGTATCCCTCGAAGGCTGGGGATACAGGAAAAGCCAAAAGGAAAATAAAGATTTTTATGTCATCCACCTGCAGTGTCCTCTTGGTATTTCCCTCACTGTGAGCCCACCAGGAGAGAACCCACAGCCCAAAGGCTTGGAACCGAAGCTTGGATTTTGCACACACAGAGAAACTTTGGAAGAGGAGGAACTTTTTGTCGGGTTTGCTTTGCCGCTTTTCCCTTCAGAGTTGCCACTTCTCTAAACTGGCTGAAAAATATTCACCTTCAGCATCTTCAAAACCACCAGCAGCAGCACAAAGTAGCAACAGCTCCTCAACCAGACACAGGGCAAGATGCTAATTCTTTCCGTGTGCTGCAGCTCTTGGACAGAGAAACCCTCTGAAAGACAGCGGATTTACTGTCCAAACCAGAGAGGAACTCTCCAGAAGCAACAATAAACACTGGAGAACAACGGGCAGTAAATTTAAACTGAGTGAAAGGAAACATATTTTAACACAATTTTGTTGCGGGACTTGTTCACAGGATGCTATGGCAGCCAAAAGCTGCACAGTGCTCCAAGAGATGGGATGTTTGTAGGGATGAGGAAAAAACCCCAGTGCTGCTCATCCCTGCCCTCAGCTCCACACGAGCTGGTGTTTCTTGCATGGGAGCAATGGGATTCAAACCACATTTCTCTCCCCAGGCCACAAATACACCCCAAGTGTTTCAAACCAAATCCCCTTTTTCAACCACCAAACCAGGTTCCTCCTGCTGCTCTGAATCCCAACTCCGCATCCTCAGCACCTTGGTTGGATGGGGACCATGGTCTCAGCCCAGGGTTTGCCCATGCTGCTGGATAAAGTTTTCCACAGGAAAAAGGTGACTTAACAGGTTTTTGCTCATCATCATGGGGAGAAAAGGAGCTGCCATGTGGTGCTCCTGACCCCTCTACCCTGCATGAGAAAGAAAACTTGGATGGGGTGAAGAAGAGGGACAGAGAAGAGCACAGCATGTTTGCTGCCCTCCAAATGCACCTGACAGGGCATTTCAAACCCCTCCCTTTTTTCTTCATGGAATTGGGGGTTCGGGGTGAGTTTATTTGTTTTTAGGTTGGGTTTTTTCCCCACCATATTTTTAAACCCAGGTATTTTCACGTTTCCTGCCCAGGTGGCTGTTTCACAAAGTCCCAGCACTGGCTCGAGTTTCTGAACAGCAGCTGGAAGAGCAAGAAACCTGGAGAGCCGCCCTCATCTCTCGTGTCCCTCCTGCTGTCCCTGCTGCTGTGGCCCAGCCCCAGCCCAGGAGGATCCCCTCTGTCCCTGCAGCTCCCTCTCGTTCACCACCAAGCTGCTCTGGCTCCCTGATTGCCCAGCCTGAGGCACCAACATCACCCATGACCCTCCTCCGTGCTCAGGTGGAATTTAAGTACCTGAACCTTGCACAGCCAAGCACCCGGAGCACAGGATTGCTACAAGGAGCCGAGTTCTTAAATAACTTCTAACTTTCGGGGTCTCAAATGATTTTATATACAATAACCCCAGTCATGAAAGCATCACCTCCTCCTTCTCAGACAGCAGCTTCTTTCCTTCTCCAGAGCCTCGCTTTCCAAGGAGCATCCCAGCTACTACACCCTGCCAAGGAGGGTCCAAGGGCATGGAAATCCATGCAAATCTGCTGGTGGAGCAGTGAAAAAAGCCAGCCCTGACCCTCTTCCACTCCCAGGAATCTCATCCAGGATCGGGGAATTCAGAGGAGCTCTGGGATGGAGGCAGCCGCCAGCGCCCGCTTCCCCCTCCCCGCGCTGCTCGCACAAGTGTGACTATCACGGCAATTAGCACACATGCCAATTAACTCCGAGCAGGTGCTGGTTAACTCTGTGCTGAGTAATTCATCCCCGGCTCCCAGTAAATTGCTCCAAATTGGAGAGACAGGCGAGAGAGCAGAGTTAGCATTTTGCAAATGGGGGAAGAAAGAAAAAGCGCAGAGGAATCTCAGCTGGGAGATGTTTTTACAAAACAAAGAATCTGGGGGGCTGAATCCCCAGCTCCGAGAGCTGAGGACACAGAGGAGCTGATACCTCTTTCAAGTCTTTATTCCTGGATTTTTTTCATCTACTGTACAAACTTCGGATCTATTTCACCTACTTCTAAGTGGTTTCACCTTTGCTTTGCACGAGCAGCGGGGTGCTCTGCACTGCTCCACAACTTGTCACTTTTCCATTCCTCCAGAACGGCCCCGCGTTTCTCCCGGCACAAGCAGGGACACCAGGAGTCTCACATCCACTTTCTACAGCCATTTGCTATTTTTAATATACTTTTATTGCATCCCTTTTTAGTCGCTCCTTACTAAAGTTAGCTCGACACGCCGCCCCTCTCCGGAGCAAAGGAATTCAGCTGCCCTTCCTTAACACCCCCCTTGCAACGCCCTGTGCTCCCAGCACAATGTCAGCTGAAAGAAACCAAACCTTGGCCACGCAGCTGAAGAGGGAAGATCAAAAAGATTCATCTGAAAGCTTTAGGAAGATAAATAAAGGCAAATAAAAGCATCCTTTCCAAAAGTGCATTTTCCTTTGCTTATCCCAGCATGTGGCACCGTGCTTCCCAATCCTCCCGTGCCTGTGCAGAGCCAGCGGCACGAGTGAGGGCAAAACTGGGATGGGCTTCACCAGGCACCAGTTCAAGGGACGTTTTCCTCATCTCCAACCCCAAAACAGGTCCAGTGCAATGGGGACATCCTTGCCTGCAAGGAAATCTCCCAAAGGAGCTTCAGAGGACATCTGGAGGCTGGGAAAAGAAGAGAATCACCCTGCGAAGGTACAGCTCGTCTTATGGAGGCACAGAAAGTCCCAATTTGAAGGGAGAAATGCAGGTGACAGACATGGCAGACCACAGCCCAACCCAGCAAGTGCTCCCATCAGGCACCAAATGCTCTTGTTGTGGGACCAACCCATCTTTTACCCAAAATTTGCAGAATGTGCACGTCCCCAAGATACATTTTTCTTTAACAGGCTCCATCAAGTCAAGGGTCTGGCTGAGAGTAAAGGGAGGGTCCTCCCTGCCACTATCCACCCCCAAGAACAGAGCTGGGGGTGAATTCAGCCACAACTGAATTAATGGACCAAGCCCCAACACATTTTAGGGGGTGTCACGTTTATGCACATACAGAAATGACAGCAATAATATGTCCCGGTCTTGCAGCTTCTCTGTGAGAAAAAGGTCATCGCAAGGGAGCTTCAGCACACAACCAGTGGGCATGTGGGGTACAAAGTGTTACAGAACTGTAGAATGATCTGCACAGATTCTTAAAGCTCATCTCATCCCTCCTCTCTGTCACTCACTCACAAGGAAAAACTTC